CAGGTGGAGGGAAACAACTTCACTCTTGGTAGATCCCCCCAAAGAAAGAGAGATGGTTCGCCTCTTTATTCAAAATCTGACTCATAAATATAGGGAACATCTCAAATTTCTTCCACTGAACACTTTCAAAGTTGTATACGACATCGACATCAATATCGAGTATGAGCTAATAAAGACTGCTGGTAGTAACAATAATAACACTTGGAAAAACAAGAAGAACGACCATCCTTCTTCTTCGTCTTCTAAGCACGAAAATACTACCAAAAATATAAGCCAAGTTGATCTCAAGAAGTGTTAGCTCTTGATACTCCATTGCCTAAGAAGAAAAGAACTTACACTCTTTAGGAATGACTTATGATGCGGCCTTTGATCGCCTTTACAGTTAAGGCCTGATCACACCTATTGGGCCATTTCCAGAGTCAAAACCTGAAGAAAGGAGCGCCAAATGCAATCCCAATGCCCATTGCAAGTACCATCGAGGAAGGGGCCACACTACGGAGCAATGTTGGAATTTGAAGGACGTCATTCAAGGCTTGATGGATGCAAATAAACTTCCTGTCCCTCCAGGCGGCAAGAAGTAATGAATACAAGGCACATAGATCCTTCGTGCAAGATTTCATGCTTTTTTTCATTATTTTGTTTCAACCCTCTCCCCCAATAAGTCTAGCATAGATTCCCGTTATCCATGTGTCTATGTGTCACATTTCTTACATTCTTCATAAATGAGCATCTCTTTCTTACATTCGATCATGTGATTAGCAAAAAAAAATAAAAAAATAAAAAAAAAATTGCCGAACTAAACACAAGGTACACCAATGATTTGAGGCACCTTTGCAACCCTGCCATTCCCCATTAACCACTCAATCACATATCCAGTTATTCATCAACCACTTTGAGCGTCGTCTAATGTTTGGCCTTCATTTCTTCAACCCACATTTACTCAACCCTGGGATTTGAAGATGTGTAATTGTATAACATTCAAAAAGCAAGTAAAAAAAAAGTAGCAAAGCAAAAATAAAACAATGTCTAAAGGCAAGTGTTCCAATGTCTTTGATATGAACACGTCTCAAATTGCGTCTCTCATCGAGTGCTCGGTACCGTGCCTGAGAAACATGAATGCTAAGTGAGTGATGGACCGCATGATCTGAGATTGCCTACATTGATTCACAAGAATGAAAAAAAAAAGAAAAGAAGAAAAACATATATATTGAAAATAAACTTGCAAAATTCAAAATTTTCAAATTCAAAATTACACATCTTGGGGATTCTCTCGGGTCTTGAGCCTTTTATCCCTTTCTTCCTTAAATCATCAACTTAAACACATTACAACCCTTGAAAGACCTCTTTGAGGTGTACATACACTTGTGTAAAGTTCGGTTAGAGCTACGTTCGGCCTGATTCCTAACGGATACGTAGGCAACCTGACATTGAGGTGCGGCCACATTCACATTCATATCTATACATGATATCCAATACTTATCCCTACCCATTTAGAGCTAGACTTGGGGGCTTGAACCCAAATCACATTAGCTTACCCAGCCTGAAGAGTCATCATCTTTAACTCTTCTCACATCTCTTTCCATCACCATAACCCTTGCAGCCAACCTTAGTATCACATTCACACACTTCACTCACACATCCATATCCATATCAATCATCCTTCCCTTTAAGAGCCCTTTATCATGAAATCTTGTTTCAACACTGTGCATGTTTCATCATATTTAAAGACAACAGAAGAAACATTGTATACTTGCTTAGCTTCCTGACCTGAGCAATGTTCATTTGTTTCGCATAATGTGCTAAGAAACATTTATATATCAATGATTTTTAATCATACAAAGCATATCGTGCTTAGCTCCTTGAACTAAGCAACGTTCATTATGCAATAATCACTATACGTGCTTAGCTTCCAGACCTAAGTGACGTTCAAAATCGCTTCTTTACACCATATATGATGCTTAGCTCCATAACTTAAGTTCATTCATCTATCGTGTCACATGATGTAATTGTCCTTAGCCTCCTGGCCTAAGAGCTTGCATCATGCATACATTATTTTCAGGACAAGCAATTCAATCCATACGATTCATTTCGTCTTGCTCAAGGAGGAAGTTCAAAAATTCTCTCCCTTTTCATTATTTTATTTTGGGGAAGTTAAAAAAACTTTTTTCCAAGTTTTCATCGAAGGAAGTTCGAAAATAAAAGTTCAGTTTTCACATCTTTCTTTTTCGGGAGAAAGTCGGTACCCTCCACTCATGACAAAAATTGACGGAAAATTTTTGCTTTTGCATCTTCGTTTGCTTGTGTCTGCACACACACATATGCACACACACACACACTCACAAGTCATACACATGTCATGTCAAGTCAAACTTGGTCAAGTCAGTTGGTCAAGTCCTTCATAGTCTATACGAGTCCATTGGCAAATTTATTTTTCAGGTCTTATCTACAGCCCACGTCCGGGGACAAGCGGACCATCTACAACCCACGTCCGGGGACAAGTGGACCACCATCATTTCATGAAGCAAGGTTCTCGATACACAGAGACTTGCAATCTCATCATCTTTCGACTTTCCTCAAGCATGGAAAGTATTATCCGGTGGATTTTTCTTCAAGTATAGAAAACCGCCAAGTTGGCTTTCCTCAAGCATGGAAGGCATTATCGGTGGAATTCTTCAAGCATAGAATGATACCATATTCATTAGTCGGCTTTCCTCAGGCTTGGAAAGCGTTATCGGTGGATTTTTCTTCAAGTATAGAAAACCACCAAGTCGGCTTTCCTCAAGCTTGGAAAGCGTTATCGGTGGATTTTTCTTCAAGTATAGAAAACCGCCAAGTCGGCTTTCCTCAAGCTTGGAAAGCATTATCGGTGGATTTTTCTTCAAGTATAGAAAACCGCCAAATTCTTTTGTCGGCTTTCCTCAAGCATGGAAAGCATTATTGGTGAAATTCTTCAAGCATAGAATGACACCAAATTCGTTCATCGACTTTCCTCAGGCATGGAAAGTATTATCCGGTAACTTTCTTCAGGCTTAGAAAGCTACAAAACTCTTCAGTTGGCTTTCCTCAAGCATGGAAAGCATTTCAAAAAACGTCATCGGGTGGATTCCTTCAAGCTTAGGAAGCTGCCAAATTCGTTTGTAACCGACACACTGGTGCCAAATACGTATTCTATCCCGTTACTCTTTTATCTGTGGAATTAACATTTTTCTGCAAGTATCGGCGTATACAGAATGATTTAGGATCGCAGAACGTCTTAAATCATTCTCCGTCCCTATCGGCTACTTTGACTATCGTTTTCAAAACTGACGTTTCTGCAAATCAATCAAAGTGGGGGCTTCTGTAGACACCTAAAAATGTCTCCCCAAAACCAAACCCGATGATAAATAACCTTTCACCGCCACTATTGGTCGGGTTTAGTATTTAATCCCGAGAGTGCTTAAAAAATCGTATTTTATTAAATTCATACTTTTGAAAAGTCCATGGATTAGTCTTGATGTTTGGTAAAAGCATAGTTTTAATTTTAGCCCAAGCTTATTAATTAATTTTAAGCCCAAACCTTTTTATTTTATTATTTTATTATTTATTTTTGGCCCAAACATTTTATTTATTTTTATTTTATTATTTTCTTATTTTAGCCCGAGTAATTCTCTTATTTTATTCTCTCTCTTCTATGCTATTAACCTAAACACTAGCCTACCCTTTTCACTTCAAAATTCCTTCTTCAAGCACTCAAAGGAGTCCATATTTCACTCGAGGTTATGTCCTTAAGCCAAGGTGTGAAAGGTAGAATCGTTTGAGGGTTTGGCCCCAAAATCAACCTTAGTTTATTTAATTCAATTTAGTTATTGTTTTATTATTTCCTTGAATCTACTAACTCGTTTATTATTTTGTAGTTGCAAACAAACAGATTCAAAGTAAGGATCATGCTCTTTTTATTATTATTATTTTTTTAACAATTTTTTATGTTGTTGGAATTATGATTAAATTATTTTTTTATATTGATATTGATTCTATTATTTATTTTGATCACCATATTGCATGTTTAAAGGGAATATGTAATTGAAAATCACGACTAATAAGATAATTTGGACAACCGGTTTAGGATTCCTTTTAATCTTATTATTAATTCAAGTGATCACCAAATTTTTAGAATTATGTGTGCATTAATATTCAACCAATTTAGTTAAATAATAGTTTGGAGCGAATTGAATTATTGTTTGTATGCCTTTGAGATCACAGGAATGTTTTTCAATATAAGTATCGAGTAGAGGCCAATACGGGCGAATGTGACTCCATGACTCACTTCGTACCATCATCCCCGATCCTCCTTTCGTGGTTCCAAACCATATGGAGTTAGTAATCTCATGGATTATGAATGGGGTGTAACCTTCACGGGTCAATCGTTGTTGCCTATCGTTGTCCCTTATCGTGGTTGCCTTTTTATGATCCGTGAACGGTTTACAAGTTCCTTAAAAACTTGTTGGCAGCTCCCTACTTTATTTTTCCCTAATCGTTGTCCCTAATCGTAATGTCAATTCCCACTTCCTATGAGTACCAAGCATATTCACAACATGCTTTTTACGTAGGCGCACTTCGAGCGACGCCTACAATGGTGAAAGAACCTGATGCTAATGCAAGATATGTATCAGTGATTTGATCAATAAAAAGTAGTTACTTTGACTAACATTTGGTTACAAATTCAGAAGAAATGAACACATTAAAGATAGTTGTTATATTGAACATAATAAGTTGAAATTGTTTTGTTCAAAAGACACAAAAAGAAACCTGCAATAGTTTATGCCATGACATTGTAATATGCAAAGTAAATTAAAGCCAACATGCCTAAAAGACTGTTTCCAAAAGCTGACTTTAACAAACTATTGCCTAAACACTAAAATATCTAGTTACACTAAAAGTTAGGTGCAATCATGGAATTACATAGTTAACTACTGAGTTGGTTGATGTAAGGTGGAGCCTTGACTTCCTTGACTGCAGTGGAACTAATCAATTGCTAACCTTCCTCTTCTCTGGTTACCTTGGTTCTGTTTCCAAAAAAAAAAAAAAAAAAACAGGACATCACTTTCATGTTTAAGTTACATAAATAGAGAATTTCACCCTAATTTCACTTACAGTAGTCATTGCAGATCCATCTGGTGCAATGTAAACACCAGCACCTTGTGGAACTTGGTGCCTTCCTCTGCCCCTGCCCCTTGTCCTACCCCTCCCCCTTCCACTATCATCTGCACCCCTTCCTCTTCCTGCAGCAGCATCTGCACCCCTTCCCCTTCCTGCAGCAGCATAAGAACTTCCACCCCTTCCCCTTCCTACAGCTTCAGAACCCCTCCCCCTTCCTACAACATTAGAACCTCTTCCCCTTCCTACGTTGGCTGCAACAACTCCATAACCCCTGCCACCCCTTGAACCCCTCCACATTAACACTTTTCTTCCTCCTCTACCAAGTATGGTAGGCTGTGCAATCATGGAGTGGTGTGATATAGCCTGAGAAGCTTGGACTGATGATGTTGTAGTTTGAGCTGCAGATGTAGTTGGATTTTGAGTTGTTGCAGCATGGTTAGCATCCTTCCTTGGCCTCCCTTTTGCCCTTTTTGGAGCTGGTTCAGATGGTTGTACAAAGTCTTTATTTGGACACTTCCTTTTATTGTGCCCTTTGGTTTTGCACAGGGAACATGTCATTTCAATCCCTGTCCTTGTCAAAGAACCTGATTTTTTGGGGTTCTCAAGGGATCTTTGATTCGATTCTTCCTTGGCCTCCGTGGACCAATTTTAATTGGTGGAGGGTCAATAGTCATAAACACTCCAGGCCAGTGTCTTTCACCTTGAATTGGTGGAATGGAACCTAACAAAAGACACAACAAAATTGGATTACATACAAATTCAATGCATACAACAACACATTTTGGAGAATGAAGTCATAAATAGGCTTCTTAGTACCTGCATACACAGACAAGTAAGTCTCCCTGTAGTAGCATTTGTCAACAAACAACTCTAATTCCTTGCCAACAAAGTAAATGGATGCTACTACATGGCACTGATGTGCCCTTCATCATATCTTGTCTTTTGAGCACCAGTCTTTGCATCAGTGCTATTCTAATATCTTCTATCATGAAAAGCAAGTGTTAGTCCTTGCCTGGATGATGTAGCCATTAAATGTCTCAGCTATGTTTGAAGTACTAGCATCTCTCTTCACTCTAGGACTCAAAAAGGCTCTGCAAAACAATTCAAGCCTATGTAGTTCGAAATCAATTGCAGCATCTATATTCAACTCTCAAAGCTTCTTCAGCCCTTCATTATAGTCAGCCACATTTTATGATTTAGCAATCCTCCAAAAGAGTAGCTTCATATCATCCCCTCTGTACTTCTTGTGCCAATGAGCAACTATGTGTCTAGCACATGTCTGTGCTCTGCCTTAGGCAAAACAGTTGAGACATTGTGCACTATACTCTGTCATCATAGAAATACATAAGATACAACAACACAACAAAAAATTCAACACAACACAATAACATAACAAGCTTGCTTAATGACAAAACTGAGCTAAGAATGATACCTGATGCTCATCAGAAATTATTGAGATCCCTTCTCCCTCTCCTAGCTTTAGAGAAGCAGCAAGCTTCATGAAGAGTCACTCCCAGATGGAGTTGTTCTCACCCTCAACTACAGCCCAACACACATGGAACATTTGATCATTATTGTCCCTACCAACAACATCCAACAGTTGACCCCCCAAAAAGGTCTTTAGAAAACAGGCATCAACTGCCAAGACCTTCCTACAACCTTGCAACCACCCAGTTTTAAGACCTTTAAAACATACAAATAGCCTCTGGAAAATTAGTGGGATAGCTTGCTTTTCAGTGTCAGTAACAAGCTCCAACTCTGTTCCAGGACTACATTCCTTTATTGCCTTCAAATACCCACCCAACTTGTTGTAGTGGTCATGCATTGACCCATATAACATTTTATGGGCATTATATTTAACTCTATAAGCAAAGTCTCTTGTTACAAGCATCCTGTATGCCTTCCTAACACACTCAACAATTTCCTTTACTGGCCAATGTGGCCTTGTCTTAAACACATTAAGAAATTGTTGTGCAACCCAATTTGATTTCAGCTGCCTGTTCCTTTTCATATTTCTCTGACAAGTGTGAGAGCCTTTCACTGTCTTAACCACTATTGTAGCTATCCTAGTATCCCATAAAGCATATACATAGAATGGACATTTTTCTATGCATTTCACACCCAACCTTTGAGATTTTTTTTTGTCACTCACAACAATGCTCACTTTTCTTCCCTGCAACACTCCATATTTAGCTACAACATTCTTGAAGTCCTCTCTATTTGCAAATTTTTGCCTAACTTTCCACTCAAAAGTTGCAAAATATGTATGCTTGGACAACAACAGACCCAATCTTTGTCTCCTTCCAGCAATCAAATCTTCCCCATCACTATTAGGAGGTAAAGATGGGCACTGGCCGTGCCGGCACACGGTCGGTACGGGCCCGACACGATTCCGGCACGACCCAAAACGGTACGGTCGCCGGAACGGCACGGTGGCCCACCTGTGGGCCGTGCCGTGAACAAAATTTTGGATTTTGACACGGGCATGGCCCGTGGCACGGCGGGCGGCACAGTGGCTGGCACGTGGGTCGATACACTTGCACGACCACCGGCACGGCACGAGGCACGGTCCGGCACGGCACGTCCTGTGCCATAGCCGTTGGAAACTAGCCGTTTTAGAGCCGTTTTCCAACAGCTATAATAACGACTAGTTTTTGGCAATTTTCCCACCCAAATTCCCTATAAATACCCCATTTCTTCCTCCAAATTTTTCACAATTCATCAACTCATCTCTTCTCTCTTATTCTCTAATTTTCTTACTCTCTAATTCCTACAAAGGCTACAAGGCTACAATCTTACTCTTTTTTGTAAAAAAAAAAAATTCCTACTCTCTTATAAATTTTACATTTTTACTATTATTACTTTTATTAGTCTACTACTACAAAAAAAAAAAAAAAAATTGTTATATTTACATTCGAGAAATTATTGTTATTGTTATTGTTATTGTTATTGTTATTGTTATTATTATTATTATTATTATTGTTGTTGTTGTTGTTGTTGTTTTCTTGGAATAACTTAATTATATAAAAAGTACTTTCTATTTTTATTGTGGATAATTTAGATTGTTAGTGAAATCTGTCTAAGGCGGGACTTGGGCTCAGGACAAACGTCGTTCCTAACCTCTCCTACTTGGGATCTCATTGACCTAAATAATCTACTATTATTATAATTATTTTTGAAAACTTAATTTGTATAAAAAATACTTACTACTTCTTATTGTCATTGTTATTATTATTGTTGTTAATTGTTATTATTATTGTTATTGTTAATTTGTTATTGTTATTTGTATTATTATTGTTGTTGTTATTATTATTAAATATCATGGCATCAAACCCGAACACTTCCTCATCCTCTAGAAAAGCCAAATAAAAACGTAGAGAATCATCAAACCCAAACACTTCAATGCCCCCCCTTAACACCGTTCATGTGCCTAACATGCCCGTTCACTCCTCTAACATGCCCTTTCCAAACACTTCCACCCCTTTCTTTCATCCCCAAACCACGGGAGGGTATGAACAAATGGATGATATGGCTCCTTGGACTATGCCTAGTTCGGGATTTCAACAAACACAATTCTCACCTCATTTATACGGATCACAACATGAGTTTTCAATTCCTAATACCCAAGGTAGCCAAACACAAGCCTCCGGGTCGAGTGAACAATCCACCCAAATTCCTAACACCCTAAATCCTACATATTAGAGTGGTGTACCGAAGTGGAATTTGCTCAAACCAAACGAAAGGGTGAAGTTTGGGCACATTATCAATTAAGTAAAATGAAACCAAAGCCCGGTGTCGGACTTGTGGTAAAATTTTCTCGGCCGATACCAAGGGAGGGACGGGACACCTTAGTAGACATTCAAAAAAATGTGGTGGACCATCTAATGATCCAACCCAACCCAAAATTACTCAATTCCATCCACAAGGATTCATTTACAATTACGAGAAAGATGAACTTGGGAGAATGATTGTACATGCCGAACAACCTTTTCTTTTCGCGGAAAATGATGCCTTCAACAACTACATTAACCGAGCACTTCAACCAAAACACAAAAAAAATCTCCCGAAAAACCGTTCGATCTGTTTCCATGAAGAATTATCTAGAGTATAAATTGAAATTAGTAAATGAATTGGCTAATCTTCCAAGTAGAGTTTCTTTAACCGCCGATGCATGATATGGTAGATACAGACTTCACTATTTATGTGTTACTTGTCATTGGTTAGATAATGATTGGTGTTACAAAAACGCATCATTCATTTCAAAATGCTTGAATACTGATGTGTCCAATTTATATAGTGCTTTACCCCCGTCCCTTGGTTATAATTAGTAGTGTTTTTGGCTCTTTAGAGCCACTTTTATTACTAATTGGTGTTTTCTCGTGTTTTTGTAGTTTTGCTTGAGTTTTGTAGGAAATTGCACATTTGGAGCATTTTCTGGGTTTTTCATGAAGCAACTACGAGCATTAGGAGGACACGACCATCTTTGAAGCCCAGGACCGGGTTAGAGCCGGTGATTATGGGCTCGGTATGTGATATCGGGGCATTTGGACTGAGTATTCAAGACCCGAAGAGGAAATCCGGATTGGGCCAAAGAATCGAGCCCAATAGAAGTCCAAGCCTCAAAGAAAAGATCGGGCCCGATCGGGCAAGCTTGCGCCCGATCGGGCGGGCGCGCATATGAGAGCATCAGCAAGAAGGCAAGCCCGATCGGGTGAGCGTAAGCTCGATCGGGCGCGACTGCCCAGGAAGAGTGGAAGAAAAAAGGCAGGCCCGATCGGGCGACCCTTCGCCCGATCGGGCGCGTGTTTTTAAGCTGACGTTTTAATTTTCAATTAGGATTTGTTTTAGGGATGTTTTAAGTATATTTTTGTACGTAATTTTGATTACCTTTTCTTTTAGATTTTCTCTCTCTACTTAGAATATTTTTCTCTCTCTTAAATTCTCTCAACTTTGTTCTTAATTCAATTCCTTAATCCAGATTTATTTTGGCAACAATTTCTTCTCTTTTAATTTCAGTTATTTTCTTTAATTCCTTCATCATGTCTTGTTTTATTATTTTGATTTGTTTAGATTTAATTATGCTTGAGTAGTTTTATTTCTAGCATTTATGGGGATCTAATAAATAATATGAAGGGGTAATTTGTGATTGTTGATTATCAATGCTTGATTAATTTCCTATTGATTAATTTAATGCTATGCAATTAGGTTTGGCCAAATTTAATTGTATGAGTTTAGCAATATTGATTCGAGATTCGAGAGATGAGAATTGATGTTTAGGCTTAGTTTCAATAGGCGGACTAATTTATAAATGGTTAAGTCAAGATTCGAGAGATGAGATTTAATACCGGTAAATTAACTCTGTGATTGTAATACGTAGCGAAAGCCCTTTATAATCTGATTAATTGATGCATTGATGATTGCTTATTATGATTTACCCTAGAATATTGTTTATTAGTGAAACTATGCCCTAGGTTTTCTCTTCATTGATTTATATCTTATTTTATTCCCTTTCTACTCTTACTTTTTAGTAGTTTAATTACTCTTTACAATAAATTTGA